ATTACAATAATTTTCCATAAAAAAAATCCTAAGACAAACACTCTAGCCCACTTTATTTAGTAATATTATAATTAAATATTTATTAGTGAAACATTATTGGAAGCTATTATATGTAATTAATATGTAAATATGTTATATGATGGAGTATGCAATAAAATCAAACCATAATCCCATGTTTTCATCAATTATTTTCTCTTTCTTTTATTCATTTTTGAATAAGGTTATAAATTTCCACATAGCTGCTGACATTCATGATTGATTAAAATGTCTTTGGAATAAAATCTTACTAAGAGCTAGAATATTTTTATCATTACAATGTACTATTTAGTTTCTCTGATTGAATGTCTACAAAAGTGAAGAAAAGCAGTAACTCAACTTCTTGTTACATATATATAATAGCTATTCTGCTAAAAGTATTCATTATTTTCATTATTATTATTATTATTATTATAATGACTAGATTTTTATTTTTTGCTAAGAAAAGCTTTTATGAGAACATTCCACTGTAATTGTAGGCTAGGATTTTTTGTAATGAAAAAGTAATGTGACAGGAAGTCTTATTTTGCAGCAGGTATTTTTAATTTACAAATAGATTCACGACTCAGTTATTATGTATGTTATGATTGCGTACAGAAATATATTTTTTTTGCAAGTTTTTGGATAAGCAAGACAGCAGGTTATATGTAAATTTGAAGTTATGGATGAATTTATGGGTATATATAAAAAAAGTTACTCAGTGATTGTGTAGAAATACAAAACTTAACCACTTAAGATGTTTACATTCTTAACATATTCTAGGTTGCAAGATGTCTTAAGTGCTCTATTCCATGCTATTTAAACTGAATAAAGAAAATTATCAAGAAGGATGATCAATTAGGAGTTGTTTCTTGTTATAATTAAGCATGCAAACTGGGTTCAGCTGCTGTAAAGTGAATTCTTTTAATGAAACAAGTTTCTTTTTGCTTTTTTTATTTAGAAGTTGGCATTTATTAATAAAAAAAATAATAATTTCATATAATGGAATGTGTGGACATATTTACTAAAAATGTTTTTCAGTTAAAATTAGTTTTGTCCTCTCTTCATACATTTTATGAAAAGTTGTAAATTTTCAGATAATTTTGATGAAACTGCTCTTAATATTAAGCTTTCAAATTATCACTCACTTAACTTAGACAACAGAATTATTTGCTGCTGCATGAATCTCGAAGACATCTCTGTACGACATTTATTAACATAAGTTATTTAAGAGCATTTTAATTTTTCTTGATGCACTGTGGTTTCTTTAATCATTAACTCAAATCGTTTAGCATTGGCTAAATAAACCAAGTGATAGTTCAGTTGAATCATAATAATCTTCTTAATAATAAACTGATGTTGACAAAGCAGTCCCAAACCGTCATTGCGAAAGAATATATATATATATATATTCTTTGATGTTACTTGGTGGTGGTTATTTATATATATCCTTAAGAGTTTTATTGCAGTTGCATAAATGAAAATACTAGTATTTTAAAATAAACAACTGACAGTTGAAGAACCTACATACTTTTATAGGATTGTAAAACTGCATCACAAATGTACACACTTCATAACAATCAAAACTAATAACTTTTCAGATTGCTTTAGTCAAAAGTTACAAGTCTAATGTGGTTGTAAAAGTTTTATTTAACAAGTGTTACTAGAAGATATTTGTATGTGTGGTCAATTTTCAACTAAATGTGAGAAGTTACCTGTGTATGTGTGTGTTTTTAGGCTTTTAAACTAGTATCACAAGACATCTCTGCATGTACTCCATGATTTTTTTAGACTAGTATCTCTATTGAGGGATTAAAACATTTTCATTTTTGCACATTTTAATATAAAGTAGAAGGAATGAAAAAAATAAAGCTAGAGATATGACTCTTGCATGTTATATACAGAATAAATAACCCCATTTGCATGGTACTATGCTAAGTTGAGCATGTGACAAAATAAATGTACCCATATTAGGGTGATCCTTATTTCTAAAGTTTTGTTTTACAGTGCTCTCACCCCCTCATTTTGTTCCAATATGTAAATAAGTATTCACACCAAATATTATCCATATTGAATAACATGTAGGGAGTTTCTCAAGTTAGTTGAAACTTTGTAGCTCACATTATATCTGTATGTTCTAGAATATTACAGAATACTCTGAATTATTCTGGAAGGTTCTAGATTATTCTGAATTGTTCTAGCTTATTATTATAAAATATTCTAGAATATTTCATATTATCTAGAATGTTCAGGAGAATTCCATATGTAAGTTATTCGTGCTTCTGGAATATTTTCTATCATATCTTACAACTTGTCCTGGCTGTGTTTTCAAAGACTGTATCAGGCTTTCCTGTGGTTCAGATATTGCAGTTTTCAGTCAATTTCAGTTATGAAACTGCAGCTGACCATGATGAAGTAGCAGAAGCCATAGAGGAAGCTTAGGACAATGTCATCGAGTTTGCTACAAGACAACTTTCAAGTCAGCCAACCTAGAGATCATTATCAAGAGACTCTTGAAATAGTTGTAACATTTCTTGGTGGCAACCCTCCTCCTGGAGTGTGACTTATAGCATGTGGAGCACTGCATCACGAATGATGAATAACTAAGGCATTATATGCACTCAAGATTTGGAGGTTTAAGCTCATTGGCACTGAAGAAAGAGAACGCTGTGACATCTGCATATTTGTCATTCAAGTCTATTTTATAGCCTGGTTCACTGTTTCTGATGCTACTTCTGCTCCTTGCAATGATCTTAACTTCCTACAATGTCTTGTTAAGTATAAGAAGGTGAATTCTGCTCTCTCAAAATCTCCCTGTCAGAAATTTGCTGGACATCTATGGTATGTCAATGAGGATCTCATTGGTTTGGCATTCCTTGATTCAGCTGTATACACACAGAGAGAAAACAAGCAATGGTAAAGGTACTAAATGAGAAGGAATACATAGATGAACCTCCAAAGTGCATCCAGCTGAATATCAGGAAGTTTGATGACATGTCACTTGAAGATTTTTTTGCAAAGAGCATAATAAACTTCTTCAGACACTCAACACTTGAATGTGTAAATGACAATGCTGAAAGGGATGTGGCCCTTATTGAGGAGTATAATGACATCATAACAAAGAAAGAAAAACAGAAAAAGTTCCTCCATCAAGTTGTGCAGAATCATAGAAGACACTTTCCTAACAGCAAAATGGAAACAATAACAATGCAAAAGTGACTAACCACACAAATCATTATACTATTATACTATTGTTCATGTAATAAACTAATAATATACTTTATATAAATTGTTTATAATACATAAATATGTTTTTATATCATACAGTGCTTATGGTACCATACCACTACAGTCTAGAAAAACCTTTAAATATAACTCAAAATGAATGAAGTTTAACATTTATGTTTTTTTATACATTGAAACAAAAGTAGGGAGTGAGAGCTTTAGAATTTTTAACCTGAAATTCTACACCTGCAAATAAGGACCGTTATAACTCATATGTATATTGTTATGTTTCAAGATAAACATACCCAGAAAAATTGATGAGTGATATGAAAATAGAAAAAATAAATCTAGACTGTATATTCCATTTGTAGCCATTTCATTCACAGAGCAACAAAGGAAATTGAAACAACACCTGGCCTTGATTTGCATGTCTACCTTATATGAAATGATCGTGCCAAAAGTTTTCCAGTATACTTCAAGAATGCAACTTCAAAACTACTTCCAAGCCACCATGAAACTTTGTAGAATGGACAGCAACTGCCTGTTGTAGAGACACAAGTGTAGAAGACAACGTTTTGAAAGTCTTCCACCTTTCGTCTTCAGGTCAGTGTGTGTAAGGTGTTGTCAGTCTTTGTAGTATTCTGGTGGATTGTGGAGAGCATGTTATGAAGATAAAAGGCAGAAGACTTTTGAAATGTCATCCTCTACACTTATGTCTCTACAACAGGCAGTTGCTGTCCATTCTACAAAGTTTCATCATGAATACTCTGCCTAAACAATCTATCAAAGAATACTTTCAAGCCAATTAAACCCCAAATCGGTTATCCTTATTTATGTTAACAAAGAAGGTATTTTTTGTATTGAAATATATGTAGAAGCAGACTTGTATCATGACTCATGTATTCTGTTATCCAATTGTTTGTGTTATGTTATATCTGATGATAACAATTGAAATCTTTTACTTTGGTAAAGTCTTCAGTCAGTGACATGGTTTGCTTAACTCATTTAAAAAT